TTAATTTAATAATTATTTTGAGCTAATAAATATGTTTAAAATCGAGTCATTGTTTTTTTGAGCCAACCCGGATTTTATTCTCGTACACTACACAAGTGTCAACTTGTTTTGGTGATATCCGGAGTTCTAGGAAGAGTTACGAGTCGTACAGCCTAAGGATGTGTAGCCTCAAGTTTTATATTTCATTTGGCGTTAGTTTCTTCTAATTCGGAGTCACAAATCTAAAGTTATGTTTAAAATACTACATCATGGGAGTTTAGTGCACATACGAGAAATCTTAACTTAGTCTTTGTTTGAGTCTAGTCACAGTCTAGTCACATGGTCATGACACGAGTCTTGAACATATCACTTACACTCACAAGTATTCACACACTTTGTACATACTTTTTCCACACCATGACCATGTCTTAGGTTCATGCATGAGTCGCTCTTTTCGTCATTTGAGTTGGGGGTCCACTTTATTCCTAATTTTTCCATATCTCTCCATCTACATCACCTTTCCATACATTACATATCTCACACTTTTCTTCTTAAACACTTTCTAAATTCACTTTCTTTCATCTTATATGCTTCCTTCATACATTATTCACCTCATACACTATGATCTTTTCCCATCCTTGCATGTTGAATCGAGTTTGAGTCATGTGATTGACAAAAAAAAAATAAAAAAAAAAGAAAAAGAAAAAAAGGGTAATTGTAAGGAGGGTGATCCCATCGTAAGGGTTACTCTCCTTAAATGCTCTTGGCCAATTAAAAGCCTAGGACTTTACACTTGTTAGGGTGTATTAGGATTTGAATTTCTGACTGTTTGGGGGACCTTGAATTAGAATTGATTCTATCATCACGCTTTTTTGTAAGAAACAAGTAGGAGTCGCCAATAAGTTTTAGGAAAAACTCATAAACCTCGTTCATGCCTTTCTTCCATGTGGAATTCATGGAATAATTAGCACAAATCATAAGTTTACCCATGCCCAACTTGGTCTATAAACCAAAAATGAGTTCGGGAGCGAGGGTACTAAGATAACGTTCATTTTAGAGGGGAATCGTCATCCTAGCCCTAGTACGGCCTCTACTAGATCTTCCTTTTCCACAATTTCATCACCAAACAATATATGCAACGCGATACCTAAAGCTATGTTATTTGATTTTATTTACAAACATTAATTCACATAGGAATTACATTGCAAAAGTCGTTATTCTTATTTCATAATATTCGTGAAAGAACAATAAATAAACACGATTCGCCTTGGCTTAAGTGATCTACCAACAATTATTTAATTCAATTCTCGTCTTTATTTAACGCAAGATACTATGTGGAATTGATTAATTAATTATTTTAAAGGTGATCAAACAACACTAATTAATTAATTAAAGTCCTTTAAACAAGAAAATAAAAGTGATTTAACTAAGTGCTCGGGAATTTAGCATTTCTCTTTGCTAGATCTCCATTTAGAGCACTTATGGACACCTTCTTGTTAGGGAACCTCCACCGTAGTAACAAAGTATCGAAAGGGTGAGTGTTTAGGACAAGAGGGCTAGGTTGCACAAGTTCACAAGTTATTTGGCCGGAGTTTTAGGTTAATTTCTGTCTGTTGAAGCCTCGGTTAAAGCTCGTATTTATAGAGAATGATTAGGTTTAGGGTTTCGAGCAATCTGCCGCAGCAGGTGTCGCGCGCAACTGATGAAGTTTCGTGCGGCAATCCAGCGCAAGTTATAGAGTTGCGCTGCTATGTTCAGCGCAACTATTGGTCTTGCGCGCGGCTTTATGGTAAGATTCGATTTTATATTTTCCGTATAATTTCTGAATAATTACAAATCTTCTGCAAAAGTTGCGCTGGGAGTTGCGCGCAACTTAAATAGTTGCGTGCGGCAGCCTAGCGCGACTTTGTGAGATGCGCACAACTTTTTCTGCGGCCGCACTAAGTTTTCACCTAGGCTCTCTTAAATCCGTCATTATTAGGGTTTAAGCACGGGCTTAAGCCTAATTATGATCGGGATTAGTTAATTGGATCTTTGTTTTGGCTTTTTCTTTAATTTGGGCTAGTCTTTTGTGTTTTGTGGCTTAACTAGTTATCCATAAGTATTCTTCACTTTGATCCAACACGAAGATGGCTTTATTTATCGTCATTTCACTTACTATCGGGATGGGAGGCCTAAAGTAGATGTCTACAGTAATGATGAAACAAATTCACAAGGCAAGCTTCTCACCAAGATTTCATGCTTTTTTTTTCAAACCCTTCCCCAATAAGTCTAGCATAGGCACCCTTTATCTTCCTTAGATTTATTTCTTAGAGTTTGATTTTTACCCTTCACTTTTTAAATAAAATGAGCATTTATTTCCTTGCATATGATCATCACATTCCATTAAAAAAAATACGCCGAGCTAAGCAAAAGGTAAACTAATTATTTGAGGCACCCCTTGTAGCCTATCATATCACCTTCACCTTTTAAATTAACAATCCTTTCTTGAGAAACCACTTTGAGCCTCGTCTAACGATAGACTTCTCTTTTTTCAACCCCCAACTACATAACCTTGGGATGGGATAGTGTGAAATTTATGCAATTTTCAAAGAAGAAAAGCTTGAGTGATTTTATAAGAATTTCAAAAGAATAAAATAGCAATAAAATTGTGCAAAAGGCCAAGTGTTCCAATGTCTTTGATATGAATATATCTTTGATAAGAACACGTCTCAGATTGCGTCTCTTATCGAGTTCTAGGTACCGTGCCTAAGAAACATGAATGCCAAGTGAGTAATAGACCGCATGATCGGGATTGTCCACACTTATAAAAAAATGCAAAAGCAAAAAAATGAGAACAAAAAAAATAAATAAAAGAAAGAGAGTTAAAAAGTGAGGAAACCTCAAGCATAAAAATATAAAGATTTCAAAAGCAAGGTTGCACACTTGGGGGTTTATCTAGGGTCTAGAGCCTTTATCCCCTTCTTCTTCAACCTTTAGCCTAACCACGTTACAAACCTTCAAAGACCTCTTTGAGGTATACACATACTTGTGTGAGGTTCGTCTAGAGCTACGTTCGGCCTGATTTCTAACGGATACGTAGGCAACCTCACATTGAGGTGCGGCAGTAATAAAATGCATTCATTCATATATACATTCATGCATGATCATATCAAGGGATCTCCAATGCTCATCCCTATCCATTTAGAGCTAGACTTGGGGGCTTCATCCTTACATTATTAGCTTACCCAGCCTAAGAGTCACCGTCATTTGATTCTTCTCAAAATATTTTTCCATATACTTAGCCTTTGCAGCTTAGACTTAGTGTCACTTTTACACACGTCACAAAGACATGGCCAAATGATACTTCCCTTAGGAACCTTTTGTCATGAAGTCTTAACATAACGTGGAAGCATACCTTGTCATCATTGCATTACAAGGTATGAAGTGCTTAGCCTCCGTGCCTAAGTTACCCAAATACTTTCATCTAAAATCAACAATCGAAATAGCCTAAGGTGTTACAATCTTCACACCCTAAGATATGACATTGATCCATACATTTGTTTGAGCTCATTCGACATGCCACTTTACTCCTCTCTTTTTGCGCTTTCGAGTCACACAATGAGTCATGAGTCAACACTTTGCACACATGAGTCACACAAAGTGAGTCATCATTAAGCCAAGTTTATACCCTGAGTCATGTCAATCCATGTATGTCAACGCTTTGAGTCGAATCATGACAAGTCATATGTGTTAAAAAAACATTAAGTTTTATACAATGAGTCAAGAAACATTAAGCCTTAGGTGAACCCTAAAAAGATATTAGCAAAGTCTTATAGTCCAAAATATAAATGCAGGTACAAAATATTTGAAGCAAAAGGACGCAAATGGCTTAGCAAATCAACTAGAGTTGGCCGGATCGCAATTGGATTGACGATCAGCCTGATTAACTGAACACACCCGGATTTTGATCAAGCACCTCATTTGGAATAGTAATTGGTCATAATTGCGTATTTCCCAAGATGAAAGATCTCTACAAAAATTAACTTGGACTCGGTAAGATCTTGAAGGATAGGGTTTTTGACAGAATTTCAAGGCATGGGAAGCTATCACTTCCAAAGAACAATCGCGCAATAATATTCTCGGATTTTGGGAAAAATCGCGAATATAAATGCATGAAATTCTTCCAAGATAAGAGGAGTTTGAGAAAAACTTACATGGATTGGTAAATTAGAGATGAAGAGCTTTAGTTTATAAAAGATTTGAGCGGATTTGGTTGAAAGAAAACGACCAAGTTCAAGGATCGGAGTGAAACTGAGCAACAAACAACAATAAAATGAGGAAGAAGGGGTTTTATTTTGAAAACCCCGACATCAGCACCAGACGACAAGCTTGTCGCCAGGCGCTAATGCCTGTCGCTTGGCGACAGAGCAAAATCCTTGCGATATCACGTATCAGCGTGTGCACAGCAGAAAACCAAAAACTGCAACACACTGTAGAACTAAAAAACAAGCAAAACTACAACAAAATACAACCAGGGACAACAAGACTCCAGCAGCAACAGCTAACTGATTAAGCATCTAGACCACTCCCTATTTCTCTTACTCGTTTTCTTAGGCATTACCACACTAATTCTATGATAGATATCCCACAGCAGCTTCTTCATCACATGCTGAGGACTTTGTAGACAGAGATCCTCCAGCCTTGTTCCTCTGCTGCCAAATAGAATACAACAACCCAGCATAGCAGCTCTGAATCACTTGTCTTCTAAATCTTCCTGTAATAGTTTTCAACTTGTCATTACAACTCTCCAGAGTACTTGGGTCACAATTATACCCAGTCAGCTTGTCAATGATCCTGCAGCATTCCTTAGTGTACTGACACTCAAAGAACAAATGCTCAACTGTTTCATCAAACAGTCCACACAAAGGACAATCTGAAGCATCAATAATGCCTAATCTAGCCAATCTTGCTCTGACTCTGATTCTTCTCCACACAATCATCCAACTAGTGAAGCTGTGTCTTGGAATATTCATTCTATTTCAAACCCAATTACACCAAGGCACATTTTGCCGCTCTTCTTTCAACCAATTATAACCACTAGCAACTATGTAATCTTTTCTAGTAGCTAACCACTTGCTTCCAGAATATCCAGCTTTGAACTTTTCCTTCAGCTTCCAAAACTGCTTCCAGCTCCAACTAGCAGAATTAGAACAAGTAACCCTTTTCCAACTTCTCTCTTTAATATACAAGTGATTGATCCATTTTACCCAAGGACTGTCCTGTTTACTAGCAATATTCTATATATGCTTCCCCAAGGCTGCCAGATTCCAAAGATAACAATCATGGATACCAAGCCCACCTTGCTTCTTACTTCTACACACAAAATCCCAAGCAATGGGAGGAACCCTATTAGAAACAGCCTTCCCATCCCAAAGAAAGTTTCTGCAGACTGAGACAATCCCATCCAGCTGAGTTATCAAGACAAAGTTAACCAGCTGAGCTCTTCCTGCATAAGAGAGAGTTCTAGACCCCAAAGATTTAATCCTAGCTGTAATTTTATCAATAAGACATTGACAGTCTGTCTTATTCAATTTCTTGAAGCTAACACTAACTCCAAGATACTTAAAAGGCAGAAAATCTTCTTTAAACCCAGATTCCTCAATTAACTCTTTCTTCACAGCAGGACTAATGTTGCAGCAATAAAGATTAGATTTACCACTATTAGCAACCAATCCTAAAGAAGCAGCAAAAGTAGCTAAACTTCTCAAAAGCAAAGAGACAGACTGTTTATCACCCTTTCTAAACAAGATCAGGTCATCTGTAAAAACTAGATGATTTAGCTTGAATTTTCAACACTTTGAATGAAACTGGAACCTCCTATAATCACCCACACACATCAGTAGTCTGGATAAATACTCCATACACAACACAAATAGCAAAGGAGACATAGGGTCCCCTTGTCTCAAACCCCTTTTACCTTGAAAAAAACCTTCCAGACCCCCATTAATATTCAAAGAAAAAAGCAGCAGAAGAAACACAAGTCATAACTAACTTGACAAACTTTCCAGGGAAGCCAAAAGCTATAAGCATTTCCTCAAGAAACTCCCATTTGACTGAATCATAAGCTTTCTTGATATCAACTTTCAATAGACAACTACTAGGAGCATTTTTCCTACCATAATGAGACACCAAGTCCTGAATTATACTAATATTATGAATGATCTGTCTGTTTTCCACAAACCCAGTTTGAGACTGAGAAATAAGATCAGGAAGGACCACCTTTAACCTCAAGCACAGGAGTTTAGTAATGCACTTATAAACCACATTGCAACATGCAATGGGTCTAAAATCAATCACTGACTCAAGCTGCTCAATCTTGGGGATCAAGGAAAGAGTAGTACAATTAACTTCTTTAAGCAACTTGCCATTCTCAAAGAAATCCAATACTGCTGCAGAAAACTCCTGCCCAACTATCCCCCAAGCTTTCTTGAAGAAGCAACTAGAATACCCATCAGGACCTGGAGCTTTATCCTCAGGGATTGAAAATAAAGCTGCTTTAATCTCATTCTTGGTAAAGGGAAGTTCAATAATCTTTACTTCCTCCTCTGTAAGCATACACCCTTTTTTAACCACATCAACATTAACTGCTACCCTATCCCCAACATCAGTTCCCAATAGTCTTTTGTAATAATCCACAAAGCCTTTAACAATACTTTCTGGATTATCACACACCTCTCCCATCTCATTCTTCTCAGCTACTATCTTTTTTTTAAAAGCTTTCAGCTTAATACTTCTGTGTAAAAAGGCAGTATTATCATCCCCCACTTGCAGCCAGTTAATCTTTTCCCTCTGTCTGAGCTCAGAAAAATAATGCTTTTTCACATCACATAATTCTCTTAACTTCACAGCTTCAGAACTTCTTAGAATCTCATTAGTGGGACACTTCTGCAATTGCTCCTGAATCTCCCCAATCATGATCAGCCCACCCATTCAAGAACCTAAAAGACTTCCTATTCTGAGTCTTTTGATTCATTAGTCTTATCACTGCTAGACAGTGATCAAACCAAAGCTCAGGCATATAGTGAACATAAGAGTCAGAGAACTGCATACCCCAATCTTCATTAATCCAGGTTCTATCAATTCTGCTATAAACCCTATCTTCATTCAACTACTTGTTATTCCAAGTGAAAGTAGCTCCCATCTTATTCAAGTTACTTAAGCCACAATACTGAACACAATCTCTAAAATGAATCACCTCCCCCTGAGTGATACTTCTGCCCAATATGTCCTAAAAATTGAGAGGACAATTGAAATCACCAGAAATAACCCAAGGCCCCACCATACTATCATGAATTCCTTTAATACCTTCCCAAAGCTCCTCTCTTTCTTTCCCATCATTCATGCCATAAACAACTGTGAAGGCAAAAGACACCCTTCCTGTCAAATTCCTAACAGTTAAATACATCAACTGCCTCTCAGTAAGTGCAACATTTACATGAAAGAAACTAGGTAACCAGGCCACTAAAATCCTTCCCCCTTTCACCTTATTAAAATTAGTGGCTAAACACCATCCTTGAAACATGCTATTATGAATACCAGGAAAATTCCCCACTTTTATTTTAGTCTCCAGCAAACAACATAACCCAATCTTATTCTGCAAAAGAAAATTACCAATTTCCTTCTGCTTCTCAGGGCTATTTAAGACCCTAACATTCCAAATCAGAACACTATCCATGATCTGGGTCTAAAACTACTCCCTTCCCAGGAGTAACACCCAAGATCCCAGTCCCTAGTTCATTCACATCCCCAAACTGCATTTTATCATCCATATGTAAATTTGCAAAAGAATTCCTGACAGGAACAGGACAAACCACTTTCTCTCCAGAACTCTTACTTCTATGCTTCTCATGAGTAGACTGCCACTCACCATTCTCAACCCCCTCACTTCCATCATCATTCTTACTATCATTCTCAACCTGAGCATCCTGCTGCTTCACATTCTGAGCTTGAATCTGCTTAGGTTGCCACACTTTCTTCACCACCTTGCAATCTTTGCTCATATGCCCAATTTTCTTACAAATATCACATTTGCTGGGTTTCCATTCAAAAATTGCTTTCTGATTAAAAATCTCCCCAGATTCAGTAATAAACTCCACTGATTCAACAAACTCCTCATTCAATTCAACTTCCACCAAGTATCTAGCATAGGCAACCCTATCCTTCAATTAAGTAGCCGAATCTGCCTTAATTGGCGTACCAATTAATCCAACTATCTTTTCTAAACAAGATTTTCCCCAATACATCAAAGAAAGGTTAGGAAATTGAACCCATACTGGAATTCTCGAAAATTCAGAGACATTAAATTCCATGCCATCTACCCATTGTTTCAGAAAGACAGGTCTTCTATCGAACATAACATGCAACACACTCAAGGCCTTATCTCTAGTTTCCACATTCAAAAGTCGTATCAAGAAAACCCCCTTTTTAAGAGGAATTACTTTATCAACATTCTTATCACCCCAAATCCTCTTACAAAAACCGAGAAAAGCAGATAGAAATGGATTATTCCCCAAAACATAAGCAACAACCCCCAATTTCCAATATTCAAGTTCATCAGTAACATCATCAACAGGTAATTGCAATCTAGGCTTCAAACTGCTTACCTCTGTTGCAGATGCTCTGTTTTCCTCCAATCGAACAGTACCACTTGAAGGAGCAATCACATTCAACCATTCATTTAGCTGAGACTTCTGCCTAGATCCTTGAATCAATTCTTGAATAGATTGAGTAGGTGAAAGGATGAAATTCTCCAATTCATCAGCATCATCAAAGTTCAATTGCGGAATACCCTCTCCATTCATTCTCGATTTTGTCTTCGAAACTGTAGCCATTGGATTCGTAAGATCAAATCCTTCACGAATTTCAGGTTTCTCATGGCTTTCTCGCACTCTAGACGACTCCTTGTTCGCTCGTTTCCTCGCCATTGCAGAGGGTTAGAGATAGAAGCACCCGCTAGAGAGAGAAAAGCAAAGATTGTCAATTAATGAACAGCTTTTGACACCTTTGATTAGTAGTCTTCCCGATTATGTTCTTGATTGATGATCGGCCTGATGAAGATCAAATTATCGATTGCATATTAATTAAGCAAATTTGAAAACTTATTTGAGTACTGATTGATTGTAATCACAAAAGATTCCTAGGATGGAGATTTCTGCAAAGATTGACTTGAAGATCGAAGAATCTTAAGATAAGGTTCTTCCCAAAGCTAGAAAGGTCGATTACTCCTAAAAGTAAGGACAAGAAGATTTGAAGATTCAAGATGAAGAAGATTTCAACTGGAGGCTTTAAGATTAAAAGAGTCTCTTGCTTGGATTTGAGAAGGATGGTTCGAGATAAAACAACCTTAGATAGCTTTCACTATGATTGGGGAGGTTTTTATTTGATTTGAGAAAATAACGATTCGAGATGAAGCAATTTTTGATAGCTTTCGCTAAGATAGTGGAAATTATCATATGGATTTAAGAAGATGGCACGAGATGGAAGGTCTTCAACGACGTTCGCTAAGATTGAGAAGGTTGTCACCCAGTTTTGAGAAGATGGCACGAGAGGGGTGGTCTTCGACGACGTTCGCTAATATTGAGGAGGTTTTCACCTATATTTGAGAAGGTAGCACGAGATGGGCAGTCTTCGACAACATTCGCTATGATTGTGAAGGTTGTTGCCATGATTCAAGGAAATAGCTCGAGATGTAGTAGCATTGATAAACGATGTTCCCTAAGACGTGGAAGATTGTCATTATGAAATTGATGATAGCTGCAAGCAGCTATCTTCAACGATGCTCCCTAGGATGTGGAAGGTTGTTATAAGACGGGAGGTGACTATAACCGGAGTTATCTTTGATCGTATTCCCTAGGATGTGGAAGATGGTCAGAAAACGACATAAGATCGCTACAAGCAGAGCAATCTTCGATGGTGTTCCTTAAGATGTGGAAGATGGTCACAAAATAATAGAAATTGAAGGCAGCTACAAGCAGAGCAGTCTTCAGGCGATATCCCCTAGCTTGAGGAGGTCGTCACAACAAAATACAATAACAAAATTGGTTACTTTAGAAACGTGTGCTCTACGGTGTAAGATACGCATTTTTAACTCTTTTATCTGTTTAACTAATGCTAGTTTGCAGGTATTGGCGTTACAAGAATGATTTAAGATTTAATAACATTCTGAATCATTCTCCATCCCTATCGTTACTTTGACTTTTGTTTTTCGAAACTTGCGTTCTTCTAAACTTAGTCAAAGTGGGGGCTTATGTAGACACCCAAATGTGTCTCCCCAAAACCAAACCCAATGATGAATAACTTTCACATCATTTAATTATCAAACGAAGTGAAAGTGTGAATAGTCTAGTGATGTGGATGTTTTTATTAAAATATCTCTCTGTCTGTTTTTGAAAATATTTCTTTTCAAACTCTATTTATTTAAAAAGCCAGTCCAATTTAATTTGGTCCAAGAGAAGGGTCCAATAACAGTGTAGTTGGAATGGGCTCGAAAAGAGCTTTCCAACGATATATTATAAGCCCAATTCCGATGAATAATGAGGAAGTTATGGATTAAATTAAATTGGCCCAAAATGGTTTTATATGTTTCCCAATGATCTAGATGAGGGCCTTTTAATTATTATTACTAAAGTTATTAGGATTGATTTTATCTACAAGGTTCTTTTAAATTCTAATGAGATTGGGATTATTAATTATATTTTAAAGAGTTTTATTTTTAAAAAATGTGTGATTTTTCACAAACATGATTTAATTCTGATCAACGCAGAATTAGGTGCTTAATTGTATTAAGAAAAGGATTCCATATGGAAAGCGTGTTTTAATTCTAACTTAGTGAAAGACGACAAGGTTGTCGCCTGGCGCTAACGACTATCACCTGGCGCTGATAGCTGTCACTTGGCACTGAACCTATCATCTGGCGCTAACTCCTGTCGTTGGCAACAGGGGGTATTTTATTCCGAACATGAGTTGATTTTATTTTAGACTATTTTTTCTATAAATAGGGGACGTATCTCCTTGTTTTCATTCATTCACAATCATTATTCCCAATCATCTCTCTCTCTAAAAGCTAGAAGCTTTCTTTCTCTCTATTATTTTTCTAAACTTTCCCTCTAAAAAAATTCCACATTCATTAGTTCTAGACACACCTAGCTAAGTTCAAAGTTGCCTTTGCCCTAGACGTTAAAGGTTGATAATTTCTGAGGGTTTGGTCCCAAATCCCTATTTCAATTATTTAATTTGATTGTTTGATTTAATATTTTCCTTGAAGTTACTAACGTGTGTATTTTGTTATTAGAAAGATATAAGAGGCATCCAAGTAAGTAATTTAATTACTTTATTGATTTTTTGATATAGGAAATCATTGCTTAGATTATTCCTAGTATCATGTTAGGATGTTTTTATTGCTTCCTAGTATCATATTCAGGGTTAACTAATATTTATGATATTATGTATGTTTAAGATGCTTCATATTTCTTTTCTAATATCATGATAGTATCATTTTAGGGTTTATGATTTGATCTTTTATGTTTAGTGACATGCTAAGTTTTGTTATTAATCTTGTTAGTATCATGCCTAGGATCTTGCTAATATTATTATGCTTTATTCATATTAATATGATAATGATTGCTATATGTTGTTTCTTGATATTATATTATTGTTATTATTGCTTGATCACGCCTCTTATGCATGTTTAAAGGGAATTTGTATTTGTAATCACTCTTAATAAGATAATTAAGAATCTTGTTTAGGGTTAATATAATTATATTTCAAGTGATCTCCAATAATAGATTTGTTTATGCATTAATATTCAACCAATATAGATAAACAGATTTAGGGTTAACCTATTGATTGTATGTTAGATAGTCAGAAAGAGTACATAAATACGAGAAGAATAAAGTAGAAGCCTATTATTAGGGCAGTTTCAATCTCTAGGT